CATTATTATTTTGAAATGTAAACATTGCTGGCGCAACCATAGAGACTGACTCTGACTGGCGAAACAGGAAGTGTATCTGGCTGATATTTCCAAAATATTGGTAAATATGTGAACATGCATATTTGCATGAACTGCTATTTAAATCTAGACATAGATGCCATAATTAGTGTTAGAAAAACGCTTGGTTATTACTGGATTTGCAAACATGCGTTGATTGGACTGTCAATCATTTTCTACTTGCTATTGCAAGAAAAGGATACAAAATTGAAAGAATGAGGTTATCTTACTTTAGTGTCATTCCAGTCCATTTTAAGCTCATAGTCTCGAAGAACACCACGATTGTTTACGTGTTCAATGGCAATTTCAGCAGCTGGTTGGATCCCATTTCCCCCCGTCCAGTCGGGACCATTGTTCATTGATGACATAGGGAAAAATCCACCAATGAACAGCGGCTGCTTACCCGAGACAGGAATAACCAAAATGATGATCGCGATGATGTTCACGTGATTCATTGCAGTATGATATATGATCTGCAATGAACGGTTATCAATTGTTAGTTAAGTCATTCATAGATCAGAATTGCAGTAAAATCTCTAATTTTACATTATATACCAGGGTCAAAATATTGTTCTTTTTTCTGGGCCGGGGTTGTGGTTTAATTGTAGAATATTTTTTTGTGGTACAAAATATATGATGTGTGAATATACATATATGATCTCATTGTCAAAATTGTTGCGTATTCACTCGGCCTCGTCTCGTGGATGAACAACAATTTGTAACGATTCGATGACGCATGCCACTAGAAACTAAAATTTGCAAAGGATTTTTAAACCCATTCAACCCTCTAATATAAACTTGTTAGCCGAAGCATATTTCATGCTTTCTTTGAATTGAACATGGACTCTATGACTAGATATTGAAAATTGGGAAAAATAATTTCTCTTCAAACAACATTTAATGAGTTCAGAAAACTGAGAAACATTAAAAAATGAAAGAAAACATTCTGCAGGGTAAACTTGAAACATAGTCGAACCTTAAAGCCATATTATCTGTGATATCTAGGTTTAGTGCCATAATATCGTGAATCAACAGAAAATGCCTCGCTTACTGTTGTTTGCATGTAGGTGCTTATCGATGGCCTTCTTCATCAAGATGATAGAGCGTTCAGAATATCCAAAGAAACTCAAGCAGAGTGATATCAGTAGCCGATATCAAACATATCAAGCATCGAAATAAAGTGTCAGTGAGACGGTACATCTGGAGCTTAATTGTTAACATCATCAATGAATAAATTAAGCTATAAAGGGCCTRAAAAAGAGCCCTGAGGGATACCAGCGTTTTGGAATTTTTCAAGAACTTAGTTGCGTAGCAATTTTGAAGTGTTAATATACAAATCGTCTTATTTGAGATTAGCAACGTTTTTGGGGATCAACGTTGTTTTGAAGAACTCCAACCTTTTCATATAAGTGCATATTGGTTTCATACATCGATTAATCTCTAAATTGTTCATGATCACTACTTTATCAACTAAGTTATTCATTCATAACTCCATTATATGATATCATAACATAATTGAATTTCAATTACATTTTGAATTTTATCAATAAAAATTACAGCATCACTGAGCCTTGTTATAATTGATTCAGGAAATTAAATCCAACGCCAGTTTTTGAACCATTTTGCCTAGTATTTAGATCGAAGTGATATTGGCTTAAGATTATGTATAGGATGTATATTTTCAGTTTTTACATCAAGTTGAAGAAAAACACGGAACRCGTGTTTTCATGGTAAGAATCAAACGGCATCTCCAAAACTGAATTTAAATTCAATACTCTAGCGATATTTTGAGCTTAAAGGTTGGGGTTAGGATTAGGGTTGATTTAAAGGTTTGGTATAGGATTTGGTGCGTATTGTAGTTTTTTTTGTTTGTTTTGAACGAATGCCATTCTGTGTTTGACGAAATGACTTCTTTCTCATTTCATACGTCCATTACCCAAACGCGCCGACAGTTGTGGAAATGACTCCAACCTTTCGTGTCTGGTCATTAACATCTCATTTGAATTGATTTATTCGGCACATTCGTATTCGATTCAGCGTTTAAAAACATGTTGTCGTCGAAGTGTACTTTCATTGTGTCGAGTTTGGTTCTTGATATTTTTGACCTTTTTTTGCTGTTGTTCTTGATTTTTCTTCTTTTTCTAGCAGAGGCTTGTRTCATCGTTATATTGTTTTTCACTTGTGATTTTGTCACTATTGATTTGTGATTTTACAACTAAAAACCAAGTGATTACGGGATTACTTGATAMCTGTTTAATGTAAACAAACCAACGAAAAATAATAATAATMAAAAMTGAGAAAAACCTAAAAAAGGTCTAAATAGCAATCACGTAATAATCGTAAAAAGGACATAATAGTTTAGTAATGTACCCTCAATAATAATATAATGAAGAAATTGGCCATTTACTAGTGCATTTCTATTTTATTTACTTAGGTGCGAATGGAATGCATCTAGAAGACAAACCAAAGGTCTCAGCCCAACGAAAGTTCTTTTTTCGTTTCCTCTAAGATACAAACCATGCTCGATTAATAACATTTGTAGCAAAATGTTCTTACAAGTACCTGATTATCACGCAATGTCATATCCGAATTTYGTTGAGCCCTTGGGCATTATAAATGATTATTTTCATTAGACTTACATAACCCAGTATGCTCCAGACATCTTACAAATATTGTAACGATACCGAACAATTTGCAAACGGCATCGTACATCAAAAAGATCAGCAAACAAGGGAAGTCAGACGGAATAAGAAAATAAATAAATAAATAAAGAAAGACGAACTGAACTAAAGTAAARCGGAAATCGTGGCTGGCCCGTTCTTTGTGATCGAAGGTCCGTAGCGAAACTGCGATGCTTACATAAAGARCTTTCAGCGGCGAATAGTTTACATACTAACGACCGTTCCCTCTTTTTTCTGTCTACCTACTTTGAAAAAGATTCATTCGAGTAAAACTTACCTACGAGCAAACACCAGTGAAACTGATTCCCAATGAAAAGATTTTAGCAGAAATTTTTGAAAAACGTTCAGTCGCGGTCAGCTTGAAAAGCGAAATCGTGCTGGTCAGACAGCCCGGTTCATCATCCTTCTAGGGGGCCGGATACAGCTAATGCTATAAAAACTGAATAATTAGAATACTGCTGGGAAACGAAACGTTAGTGGTCTCAGTTGACGTTTAAGCCATCGGAAAATCCTCTGATATGAAAGGTGAAAAAAACCTTTGATAAACAGAGATATTAAAACTTAGCAAACGCGCCTTGCAGATCCAATTTCCCAATCAATGAGATAATTGCCATGACAATAAGGTGATTAAAATCGGGAAAACTTTCTTTTCTTGGAAGTAATTGGTGGTTTATTTTGCTTTAGGAAAGAATGACTTATCTCACGCAGTTGTAATACWATAAATATACACAAAACGTTTCGGTTTGAATTCACGTTGCTGCATAATATGAAGACATAGAAATCTCAATTGTAATTTTTGCTTTTATAAGACAGTTAGTCAGTGAACGTATTTCATCTTTAAATGATAAATTTACTGGAATATTTTTAGTATTTTCCTTTCTTTTGTAAAGGAATAAATGCCAAATTGTTTTATCAAATCTCAAACGGAAAGCACTCGAAATATGATTGAAAATACGCCCAAAAGACTAATTGCGAGACTCAGTGTCGTGCTCGATTGAATGTAATCAYGTTTTCCTTGTTTAACAAGAATATTATACAGGATATTGCTTGTTCATCTTAACTCGTTTGGACTCTGTAAATCACCTCTGACATGCATGGAAATACGAAATTATTATTTTTAGATTACTAACTGATCATATTATCATTTTACTTTAAAAAGACTGTACTTTAGAAAAACAATAGACTGTGACACGGGATGGAGAAATGCTTTGCTAGTTTGGTAATGCATGTTGTATCTCTGCTATGAAGGGTTTCCGACTTGAYTTCGCTTGCGCTTTCTTTCGTAATAAACATAGTTAACTATGGTAATAAWTAAGCGGAAGAGGGCAGAATAATCAAAACATTTTTCCCTCCAAGCTATATTTTGGCGACTACCCTATAAAACAGCAAGCTCTTTAAAGCAGACAAAGAATATAAAAAACGGCATACCGAAATGGACAGGTACGAGGTATTATTTTATTCCTTCTGGACTTTTACACCAAATAACATCCTTATCGTCTAAACACTTCATGGATTCTTCATCTTTGATACCAGAAGAACTGGATTTACGGCCCCCCTGGCTCCCGAAGGAATTCAGTCTGTAAATGCTATGAAACTACAAGCTTGCTGTAAAAAATGCGATTTAATAATATATTCCCAAACAGGGTGATTTGTAAGGGATTCAGTGCTATGAAACGATGGCTTGATGCAAACAATGCAATTGAAAGTGTCAGCTTAAAAACTGTTTTGTGATGACATATTGAGTCATATAAAACTATAAATTCAGTCCATAAGCCTTTGCGTCATGGTATCTAGATCAGATTTCGTAAGAGAAAATGTGGACCATATTGCAGTATTATTAAAATAATAGATGGAAATATAGGTAAGTTATAATGCTAACACATGGGTTATTCCAGTATTACAAAATCCGAAATCTCAACCAGCTCGAAAATTAATTTAATTTCCGAAATTACTTTTACAAGAGTTTTTAGTCCCGGAATAACCTCTTTGTCAGCATTTTAACTTCCTTTCCATTTATCCAGAGAAGCAAAACAATGGCTGGTGARAATGGATTCGGGCTTGTTTTGTATACAATGAATGACTTAYCAGTTTTAACAAGATTAAAAATGATGTGATSAATTTTTTTTCAAAATCTATAACCATCTCTTGTTACCTCGTAGGTGAAAATACGCTTGGTCGTGTTCACTTTAAATTGATTGAAGCTCGAAGTACATGCAATTGGAAGGGCGAATGAACCTGCGAAAAAGAGGGAAATCAGTTAACACCAACAAATTGATTACTTTCGGCTTACTTTATTCTTAGTAGGCACTTCGGCTAACATCTAAACTCGAATCTAAACCAACCACACGCGCAAACTCTTTTACTTTTACTTTCAAGGTAGCTTGGAATCAGAACTCTAAAAATTATGACAAGAAGGCTCAATGCCATGTGTCAGGTTTACTATCCATTTTTGATGTCCGCCGTCTTTGTTTATGTACACATTGTGTGTATTCTTATAAGTATCTTAATGAAAAGTCACATTGAAATTATTGGCCGTTTGTACGGTTCCTTTATTGAAAACCTCTAAAAAGGGGAACACCGTTGAGGATTCGAGGAAAGAGAGAGGTATCGTTCCACGAATAAAGKAATAACTCTGGGATTGTAAAATTAATTCCGATTTACAAATGATAATTTGCTTGAATGAATAATTCGTTTTTTCACTTTTTGTAATTTCCTTGATTATAAATTTAAAACTGTCATGATGAAAAAATGCCGAATATGCAATAGTCCCAATGCATGGCTTTAGATACCTGGTCCAATGTTTATCGGTGAATTCCTTCAAGCTATGATAATAAAATTGCGTTAATTAAAGTTTAGTACTAATTTGGTCAGCAATTATTGCCCGCCGGCGTATAGTATAATCACCCTTGTTGATAACAATCTATATATTTTATATAGCAATAATAATCTGCTCTAAATAGAAAGGAGAATCAATGGTTTTTTCACGTATCAGTGCTTCKTCGTGTACACAGCTAATACTCAATTACATCATTTTATTTAGATGATTTTTYCTCGTTCATTCAGGGACAAAAAAAMCACCGGTTTCTCCGGAAGTGAGATCATTTTCGTGTTTTGGCAATTCAAAATGATTTCTGGAAGTATTTATATCTGACTACAAATYCTTTGATAATTACAGAACAAAGATCTATGGTATACGTAAAGGTAGACTCTACTAAGGAATTGATTGTTTTGTGTACAAGAAGATGGCCACTGTGACGTAATTAGCAAAACAAGAATTCATWAGTAAATTCAATAAATTTATCCTCGTGGCATGTCCTCTTATTTACCATGGATGGCGTCATCGAATCGTCAAAATTGTTGTTCACGTGACGAAGTCGAGTGGTAAGATGATAAGATGGCGCCAGCCATGGTAAACAAGTAAAGAGGACACGAGAAAAAAAAGCCGATTTGAATCATCATCCAAAATGTCGGCGTAATGGTGCAATTTAAGCCGTCACAAGAATTACGTGAGAATACCTTTGATGCAAGTCAAGTGTTTTTGARACTTGATGTCTGTTTAGCACAGTGGTGCWTGAGAAAATATCTTATCATGCATTCTGTTTATCTTACTGTTACTATGTGTTTTCATATGTATTCAAMTAGGTTTGGTTAAATTACGGACGATTACCACTATTTTAATCTGTATAAATTTTAAATGTATTCACCTTTATCAGATGTAAAATGTCGGGTGTCGAAGCGTAATATTTTGWAATTTTGTCTTCCGTCATCAATTCCGGTGTTCCCATTTTTAAATGGCAAAAAAAAAAAAAACGTATTCCCATTCCCACTTATGCTATAATCTGTTTGTTTTTATTTAAAAAAAATTCTATATTCCATAACTTTTTTTTTCAAATCATTATTCTGTACTTCAAAAACTCATACATAATTAATGAGTTATTTGGGCAATAGAATGAGCCTATTTGGTCACATGCGTGGACCTTTATATCTGATAAAGGTCACCCTTATTAGTATTCTTATGACCCTAGCAAAGGTCTCAGGTTTGATACCTGATCATTGACCAATGCGGGATGTCAASCGATTWCAKTGAACAGCCAAGAGCGGTTCTATTTTACTTTATGCGTATTCAATGTGGGATGAAAATASTGCTTTGTACAGTGATTTGCGCATGATCAATTTGCCCCATTTATCTCGAAATTTGTTTTTACGGYAWTTTCTCCAAGAATTTTAACGGATTTGAGTTTCAAAYTAGTGTTGGAGTTTTTGAAGMCGTTTAAAACACTCGAAATCGTGTTTTATCAGGTATAAAGATTCGAGCTCTCGTGTTTTAAACTATACTTAACAAATAAACCACATTTGCTGTTTTTTCTCTGGCTAATGCAAGCCGAGATGTGGTTGGGGAATTTGAGAGCAGTTCTGTGCAAACACGAGCCATGCTATAAACCCAGTTGCTTCTCAGTTTTGGAATACTTATTTTGTTGAAATAGCTGCACTTTTATCTATGATAGTTTTTAAACTMGCGAATTCAAAGATGGTGACGTCAAAAGGATGTTTGTCATACCGACATGCAAACCGGATTCCGCTTAAACCGGATGTTTGTTGTCAATCTGTTTGAGTAGTTCATTAATTAGGGACTGTGCAATAATTACCAGGAAGGGGGGTGGGCGTAAAACCAGAGGGGGGGGGCATTACATAAAATAAAGTAAAATTACCTAATTAACATAGGGGGGCCTTAAGTTACATTCAAAATTTTCATAATTTTCGATGTCTCTCAAAATGCTGGATGAAATCGCATTTCCAAAATTTTCTGGTCGAGGACCAGAGTCCCTTAATACTCCCGCCTTTGGCGTTCGTTAGACCGCCAGATCCAAAATATATGTCGAGGTCCCTGACATGTGCATAAAAAGTCCACGCGCCTGACTAATAGAAATCTAAATTCAAAGACTCGTTGATGTGTGATTGAAATTCAGGAGGAGCCGACGGGGTCTGTTCTTCTAAATATCTGTTCTTGTACGATTTTTTTCCTGGGAAACGGATTTTGAGCTACATTGTTGACATTTTCACAAGCAAAAGATGGGACCCATCCTTCTTTTAAATAATTGTGTTCCTGGCAAACGTTTTTGAGGTTTATATAGGTGTATATGCCGTTATATGTCGTTTTAGAAGACGTGTTTTGCTCGTAAGGAATATAGTATTTCTGGCAAACGTTTTTATAACGCAAACGGGTTTACATAACGCTATCCGCAAGAGGTTTTTTTTGGTCCTAAGGAATTTTCCTGGCAAAAATTCTTTTAAATTCTTTTTTGACCAGGAAACTTTTTATGTACTGTTCCGAGAAAAACAATTTTTAGGTAGGAAAGTTTTATTTTCCTGGCAAAAATTCTTTTMAATTCTTTTTTGACCAGGAAATTTTTCATGTACCGTTCCGAAAAAACAATTTTTAAGTAGGAAATTTTTATTTTCCTGGCAAAAATTCTTTTTATTCTTTTTTGGCCAGGAAATTTTTTATGTACTGTTCCGAAAAAAAATTTTTTAGGCAGGAATTCTTTTTTTCCTGGCAAAAATTCTTAGGAAGTATTCCTTCCCTGGATAGTCTTTTTTCCCATAATTTTTTGCTGGGAGCCGGTTGTAATTTAAAGCTGGCTGGGACATAAGAACAGATATATTTCTCCCAGGAACCCATTGGCCCCTCTCGGAAATTGACCAAAGATATGAATTTTTTTAACTATTGATTTTTTCAATTTTGTCACATAAAGAGAGTCTCAATTGGGGTAAACCGTGAGMCGTGAAACGGCTGAAAAATTAGCCGTTTGTCGTGAAAATGCGAAAAAAATAGCCATGAGGCGTGAATATTATTTTATAGCGTGAGCCGTGATTCAGTTTTGTCCCTCAGAAGGACAGTCAACTCCGATGCAGGCGCGCGCTTGTAATTTTTTTTTGTAAATTTTTTTGTAAATGCTCTATTCGCAGAGTAGAGTCATAACACTTGCACCGTGAAATATGATCAAAATAAACAGTAAATATTAGTGTCTATTTATTGACTAATAGTAGATATTACTGAACCAGAACACAGTTCATGAAAACAAAAGGCAATACACAGGAGACTTGACAACT